AGTATATGTATATATATAAAAATAGTACCTATATATATTGAAAGTCTGCGAATAGTTGAGTACAAGTGTGTAGTGTGCTTGAGCTCGAAAATGGACTATGCGGTCGGATTTGTGATCTCTAGGTCAGGCGTAGAGATAACAAGGAACAAGATCATCTTTATCTTGCGTGCTATGGATATGGTAACTGTACGCACGGAGTTTTGTAAGAAAACAAACCGCTGAATCAATCGAACCTCCCGAGAGGTCAATACTGTCTTGATATTTTCTGTGCTCACGGTATTGAACAGTTCGTTCTGAGTGTTGCGTGTAATCAACCGCTCCGACATAGGGAAACATAGGTTCTCCAATCTGCATATACATAGGAAGATGGCAGCGAGTCATAACATTTACCTCTCAGACACGCCAAATCTTATAGATATTCAAGGTAAAGGACTGTGGCAATTTTTCACAAGCAAATGGACGTTCAGACAGTAGCACATATATGCTCAGTATCACACGCAATTGAGAGAGGATCCCGATAGAGGCAAAAAGTGAAAAGTGCGACTTGATATTATTGCTCATATAACTGAATGCGTCTTACAAAAGGTGCTTGTTCCTACAAAACTGTGTTTTCTCAAAAGCACCGCATTAGTATGCAAACCACAGCTGTGACTTAATACTCAGTACGAACTAAAATGTATCAACTTTCTCTTGCTGGAAACAGCCTGGAAACAAACTTCTGGGATATTCTATTTTATCTACTGGCAGTAAAGCAGATTGTGTATCTACAAATTAGACGCGATTGCGTGAGTTGTCAGCTCGTGCATAGAGATGTTAGCCGCGCCCACATTTTATCATGTACTTTGAAGGAGTAGTATGAGTATCATTGCTAACTAAAAGATATACACCTATTGACCATTAACTCGAGAGAAAAGCGTATGACAAATCACAAATTGGCCTTAAGCTTATACTCGTTTGCATGACACACATTGCCGTTTAGACTCGTTTGATGTCTTGTGTGTTTCTTTTTGTTGGGATGGAGTCTCCAGTATATGGTATGACATGTCAGAGTAGCCGGATTGAGAGCTTAAAAACGTACAAGATATGGGATTTTTTTAAAAGAACATCGGTTTACATTCACTTTTCACTCTTTACACGAATTGAAATATACACACTTCAGATTTCTGTTGATGTTAACCACAATTGTATATATGCTGGAAGTAGCTACTTGGTAAAGACTAGTCTATGACAATAAGTACAACAGCATACATCATATGCACTACTATCTCAGGCTAGCTATGTTAAATTCATACACTACTAAAAATGGACGACCAGGGTCCGCGATATGTCTCCATACATTTCAGATCGGATGTATCAGCTTAAACTGTAACAAGTGATGGAGTAACGCCCTAAAGAACGGAGTAGCATCCCAGCAGAAATATAATCACTTGTCAAGAACTATCATGGGATGCAAATACGATTGGGTACTACGCGCATGGCAGAATATTCGAATGGTGTACATGCGCATCCGGATACATGATCTCGACTTAGCAGCAGAAATCTCAGACTACAAACCTGATATCGATAGCCACAGATACATACGGCTGAAGTATCAAAAACTATCATAGGCTGAAGTATCAAAAACTATCATAGGCTGAAGTATACAAAAACTATCATAGGCTGAAGTTTCAAAAACTATCATGGGCGGAAGTATCAAAAACTATC